TGTCCCCACCACATCCCGACTGTCCCCAGTGTCCCCACCACGTCCCTGGCTGTCCCCGCGTGTCCCTGGCGAGTCCCAGCTGTCCTCGATGTGTCCCTGCACCCCGAGGCTGTGTCTCTAGCACATCCCACTTGTCCCTGGTGCATCCCGGCTGTCCCCAGGGTGTCCTTGCTGCCCCTGGTGCATCCTGGACTGTCCCCAGAGTGTCCTGGGTGCCCCCAGAACAGCTCAGCAGGGTTGGGGACACTTGGGGTTGTCACCCCATGTCCCTGGGCTGTTCCCAGTGTGTCCTGGCTGCCCCCAGAGCAACTCAGCAGGATTGGGGRCACTTGGGGTTGTCACCCCATGTCCCTGGGCTGTCACCCCAAGTCTCTGGGCTATCCCCAGTGTGTCCTGGCTACCACCAGAATAACTCAGCAGGGTTGGGGACACTCGGGGCTGTCACCCCATGTCCCTGGGCTCAGAGTGGGCACCCTGATGTGGGGCAGGCCAGGGCCAGCCCATCACGGCCATGCTGGCGTGTCCTCGGCTGCGGCTTGGGTACGCGCCGTGTCCCCACACCGTGTCCCCACACCATGTCCCCAAGCCCCGTCTCCAAGGGCAGCGGGGACCAAGTGACTGGGGGACACTGGGGAGGGGACACTGGGGAGGGGACACTGGGTGGCCCTGACTGTGCCGGAGCCGTGTCCCCCTCCCCACAGGGACCCTCGCTCTGCCCCCGCGGGGCCCCACGCTGGGGGAGGGGATGGCAGCGCTGTCCATCTGTCGGGGCCCCCCCGGCTGTCCCCGCCGGGGGCTTTGGGGGGGCCGCGGGCTGCTCTTCCCCTCCAGACAGAGCCTCACTTCCCCCCCGTGACGCAGCCGGAGCCGCCRGCCCCGGGGCCGCTTCCTGCGCGGGGGGCAGGCGAGGGGCCCATGGGCACCTCGGGGACAATGGGGACCACAGGGACCCGCGTGGGTTCACCCCACGGGCTGCGGGGAGCGGGGACAGCACGTGTGAGGTCTGCCCGTGCCCCCACAAACCTTCTCCTTGTCCCCTCCATCACCCCCAGACCATCTCCTTGTCCCCCGCATCACCCCCAGACCCCCTTTTGTCCCCTCCGGTCTCCCTCGCCCTGCCGAGCCCCCCTTCTCCCCGCCGCGGTGCCGTGGGGTCCGGGTGAACCGGGGACGCGTGGCCCCGTGTGAACCCCAAAACCCCAAACTTCACCCCCGTGGGGCCGGGGGGTGGCGGCCACGGCCGGGGGTCACGGCTCAGCTCCGTGTTTGCAACCCCGGAAGGCTCCCCGAGGGCTCCCGGGGCTCCCGGGGGTCACTCCGGAGGGTCCGGGATGCCCCTTGGGGATCCCTCTACGCGCTGCCCCGTCCCTCCCCACGGCGGTGTCCGGTTCCACGGGGGATTCCCGGCGTTTCCTCTTCCCGGGATGATTCCCGGTGTGCCGGTGCCGCCGTTCCCGGGGCCCCCAGCGCCGTTTCCCCGGGGCTGGCGCTGGCGGAGCCGCGCACCGGGGGAGGCGGTGGCTCCATCCCGGCTCCTCCCCGGCCGCGGCGGGAAGGCGGAGCCGCCGCCGCCGCCTCCCAACAATAGCGCGGCCGGGCCGGGCCGGGATGGAAACGCCGCCGCCACCGGGACCGGCCCCAGGGCCGCTTTGAGCCGAGACTCAGCCGGGAGCCCCGGGCGTGAGTACGGGACCGGGGGCTCAGCGCAGGGAAGCGGCGGCACCGGTGGCGGGGGGAGCCCGGGGCGGAGCGGGGGGTGTGCGGCGYTTGGGGGGGCCCATCTGAACGCCGAGGGTCTTGTGCACCGGGGCCGCGCATCCCGGTGCCCCGGGRCCGGGGTCAGCCCCGGGGGTGCTGCATATCCCGGTACCCGGAGCTGCTGCACGTCCCGGTGCCCCGGGGCTGGTGCCGATCCCGGTCCCGGTGGTCCTGCGCATCCTCGTGACCCTGTGCCGGTGGTGGTCCCGGTCCTGGGGGTATCTCGGTGCCCCGGGACTGATGCCGGGCTCTGTCCCGGTAATGCTGCACATCCCGGTGCCCCCAGGGCTGGTCCCGGTCCTGGTCCTGGCTGTGCATCCCGGTGCCCGTCTGGTTCCCCTGTATCACCGGGAAGGAGCTGGGCAGCAGGAGGGGTCTGTCGGTGCCAGTGGGGTCAGAACTCGGCCCTGGGGGTCTTCCGAGGCTCCAACCCTCTTCTCAACCCAGTTCTCCCTGCAGGTGACACCACGCAGGGACGGGTCTGGGGACATTTGAAGCCAGGTAAGGGAGAGCCAGGCTGTGCAGGGCCTGGGGGTGCTGCAGGCCGGGTGCCACCAGCCAGGGGCCAGCGGGGACCTTGTCGTGACGCGTGTCCCCCGCAGCAGTGATGTCGGAGAGCGTGGCCGAGGCACCGGGATCCGGGAGCCCGGCGGCGCTGGGCGAAACGGGCACCAGCCATGAGCTGCTGCAGCGCCTGCGGGAGCTGGAGGTACGCAGGAAGGGGACACGGGGCCACCAGGCAGACCCAGGTGGCCACTGTGAAACTGTGGCCACCATGCAGCCAGTGGCAAGAGCCAGCTGTGCCAGTAGCAGTCAGGACACCATGGTGCTGGTGTCCGGCTTTCCATGGCCATCGTGCCACTGCTCTGGGGCAACCCTGTCCTGCCATGAGTGACCCTGAGCCCCACCAGGGTCTCTTTGGTGCCACAGGGATGTCCCTGAGCTGTCCCCGCTCTGTTCCAGGCGGAGAATTCAGCCCTGGCCCAGGCCAATGAGAACCAGCGGGAGACATACGAGCGCTGCCTGGATGAGGTATGGGACAGCACACCTACACACATGACACACATGTGTGCACACGCGTGTGCGTGCCCTCGCGCCTCACCCCAGACCTGCCCTCTTCTCCCCAGGTTGCCAACCACGTGGTGCAGGCGCTGCTCAACCAGAAGGTGGGTGTCAGGAGGGTGGGAGGATATCAGGGGGGCTGTGAGGATATTTAGGGGTCCTGGCTGACCCCCCGCCCCCCACACCCCGGCCAGGACCTGCGCGAGGAGTGCATCAAGCTGAAAAAGCGCGTCTTCGAGCTGGAGCGGCAGAACCAGGTGCTGAGCGACCTGTTCCAGCAGAAGCTGCAGCTCTCCACTGGCTCCCTGCCCCAGGTGTGCCCAGGGCTGCATTGGAGCTGGGGAGGGGGGTGGGCGTGGGGCAGAACCCCCCGAAAATTAACCCACAGTCTCTGTGCTCTGCAGTTGCCGCTGCACCCGGTGCCGGTAGCCCCGGATGGCCCGGTCACCCCTCAGCCGGCCTGTGCTGAGCAACAGCCACCCCCGCTGCTCCCCGGCCTCTGTGTGCCCCTGCCCGAGGTGGGTRCTGCTGTCCCCAAGCCTTTCCTGTCCCAGTGTCCCCCTCTCTGGGCTGTGTCACCCCCTTCCCCATTGTTTTTACCCATTGTGTGGTGTCACCAGGCCTGTGACACGTGGCTTCCCTCTGTGTCCTCTCCTGTCCCCCTCCCTGGATCTGTGGTGTCACCACCCACGTGCCCATGGCATCATCCTTTCAGTGGTGTCCCTGTGGTTGGTCCCCGGTGGTGTCACCTCTCCAGGTCCTTGGTGTCCACCTCCCCAAGCCCCTCCATGTGTGATGTCCCCTGGCCCCAAAATCCATTGCCCCAGATGTCCCTGTCCCCATTGTGTCCCCATCCCACAGCCTATCATGTCCCTCTCTGTGTTCCCAGTGTCCCCCTCTGGTACCAGGGGGCTCAGTGATGCCCACAGGGTGACAATGCCCGCTTCCCACAGGTTCTGCCACCGGTCCCATCGGGCAGCCCTGGSCTCAGCCCCGGCGCCCCACCCCTGGACGCCCTTTCCCCCTTCTTCAAAAAGAAAGCCCAAATCCTGGAGGTGCTACGCAAGCTGGAGGAGACAGACCCGCTCTTGGGGCCCCCGCCGGCCTCCCCCGGCTCCCCCGAGCCCTGCGCAGCCCCGGGCTGGCCCCCCTGCCCGCTGCGGGGACCGGCGGCTGCGGGGGGCTGGCGGGGCACCGAGGGCAGCCCCTGCTCCTCTCCGGAGGAAGGGGGTCCGCCACGGGGGGCTCTGCTCAGCGCTTTGGCCGAGCGGCTGCTGCGAGGTGAGGGGGGGGGCTGCTGCCGCCGCAACGGCGAAGCCCCCGGGGGTCCCCCCCGGCAGCGGCGCGGGGAGCACCCCGCTTTCCTGGGACTCTACGCGCCGGGCGAGGAGAGCCCCGAAGGTGGCTTCACCCCGCTGTCACCCGGGGGCGTCCCCAACTCCCTGCCCTCCCCCAGCAAGGTGCTCAAGCTGCCACCCTCCCCCGGGGGGCTTCGCCTCAGCCCCCAGCTCGCCCATCCTTCCAAAATCCCCTGTCGTGGCGCCCACCCCGAGGCCTCCCCGGGGCTCAGCCGCCGCCCATCYCCCGAAGCCCCTCCGGAGCCCGGCTCCCCCGAGCCCCCCGCYTTTCCCCCAGCCCGCACCTTCGAGGCGGTGGAGCAGCCCCCCGTGCCACCGGGCCCCGTGAGCGGCGGGGAGCGAGCGGCTGCCTCCCCCCCGAGCTCCCGCCGTGGCGCGGGGGGCTCGGCCCCGTGCCGCCGCACTGGCAAAAAAACCCCCGAGCCGGGCTACCTGCCCTTCAAGGAGCGCCTGGCCGCCCTGGGCAAGCTGCGGGGGGCAGAGGGCCGTGAACCCCCCGGTCCAGGGCGGCCCGAACGGGGCCACGGAGCTGAGCTACGCCCTCCACCCCGCGGGGGTTTGGGGGGCAGCCTGAAGCACCCCGAACCGGCGCACGGCGCTGAGCCCCTGGCCCGCTGCTACTCCTCGGGCTCCATGGGCGACCCCGGCAAGGCTGGGGGCAAGGGGCGCCCGGTCAGTGGCCGGACCCCCTCTCGGCCGCCCCCCACGCCCCCCTCCAAAACCTCCCGCAGCCCTCACGGCAGCCCCACCAAACTGCCCACCAAGGCGGCCAAAACCGGGGCGCCGCGGGGCGAGGAGCCGGCGGGCGCTAAAGCGGGCGGGGGTCCCCACAAAACCCCCTCGGAACCCGAACCCGCGGGGCCGGCGCCCAGCGCCGCGGGGCACTCTGCCATCGAGGAGAAGGTGATGAAGGGCATCGAGGAGAACGTGCTGCGGCTGCAGGGGCAGGAGMGGGCGCCGGGAGCAGAGGCCAAGGGGAAGGCGGCCGGGCTGGCGAGCTGGTTCGGGTTGCGGCGGAGCAAATTGCCGGCGTTGAGCCGCCGCGGGGACAGCGGGCGAGGGCGCGACTGGGCCGGGACCCCCGCTCCTTTGCGCCGAGAGGTCAAGCTGGCCGCCCGCAAGCTGGAAGCGGAGAGTCTCAACATCTCGAAGCTGATGGAGAARGCGGAGGATCTGCGGAAGGCGCTGCGGGAGGAGCACGCGTTCCTGCAGGGGCTGGCGCTGGAGAAGGGGCGTCCCCGTGGGCCCCCGCGAGGTCCGGGTCCCCTCCCCGTCATGTACCAGGAGGTGACGGCCGAAACCTTCATGCAGCAGCTGCTGGACAGGTCAGCGCCCAGCTGGGCACCTCGGGGTGCGGGGTGAGGGTGGGGTGTCCCCCTGACGCGCTGCCTCTCTTTAGGGTGGACGGCAAGGACGTCCCCTACGACACCCGCCTGGAGCACAAGCGGGAGCTCTGTGACCTCCGGAGGGTCCCCCCCGATGCCAAAGACCCCCGGCTCTGCCGCCCGCCCCGCAACGGCATCGTGGGACACCTGCGGGAGCCCTCGGACAAGGTGAGACCCCTCCTCCAGCCCCCAGAGCTCCGCTCCAGCGGGACCCCGCAGCTCTTCAGCCTCTTCATCCCCGCAGGTGCCSGACGTGGGGCTCCGGGATGAGCTGCCGTCCGACGAGAGCTTGTCCGAGTCAGGGACATCGCAGCATTTCGCTGGTGAGGGGGCGGCGGGTGGGTGACAGCGCGGGGGGCACCAGGGTGGTCCCTCCGCCACTGACCCCTCCCTTTGTGCCACAGCCTGCGGGTCGCTGACACGGACACTGGACAGCGGGATCGGGACCTTCCCTCCCCCCGATTATGGGGGGGTCCCCRCTAAAAGCACCCCCAAACCGCGGGGCCGCCCCGAGCCGCTACCCGGGGCCGTGCCGGCCGCTGTCACCAAAGTGCCGCGCAAGGCCCGGACGCTGGAACGGGAGGTGCCCAGCGCCGAGGAGCTGCTGCTGCCCGGAAAACACCGGGGAGCTCCGAGCTGCCGCCTCCCGGCTCCCCCCAGCTCGCACGGGCACCGCGCCGCCCCCCAAGGTGGGTATCCCCCCTTTGCCCCGTGGTGGGGAGTGGGGGGCATGGGGATCCTGTGAGTCAGCGCTGCCCCTCCTGGTTTTTTTTTTTTCTGCAGACACCGGGGATGATGCCAGAAAGCCACGGCGTGTCCAGCAGAGCAAGAACTGGACYTTCCCCAATGCCAAAGCCTGCGGTGCTGCCGACCCCTTCGTGTGCCCTCCCGGGGGGCTGGAGGGGCTGCATCGGCCTGCGCAGGTAAATCCTGGAGTATCCCAAAACCTTGCTAGGGGGTCCCCAAAACTCCAGAGTGGGGATCCTGAAAGTCTGGAGCAGRACCCCAAAATCCCGGCGTGGGGACCCCAGACCCTCCTGCTCTTGCTGTGGGAATGGATACGATGGGAAGAGGCTGTGGGGGGGACACTCACCAGAATTCCGAGATTATTTACCACATCCTCATGTGCCCCGGGGGGTGGGATTTAAAGTGACCCTCTAATGTTTTGGGGGAGGATGTGAGGTATGGGGGGGGACACTCACCAGAGTTCTGGGATTATTTGCCACATCCTCGTGCCCCGGGGAAGCCGGGGTGGGGATTTAAAGTGACCCTCTAATGTTTTGGGGGAGGATGTGAGGTATGGGGGGGACACTCACCAGAATTCCGGGATTATTTACCACATCCTCATGTACCCCGGGAGTGAATTTAAAATGACCCTCTAATATTTTGGGGGAGGATGTGGGGTGTGGGGGGGACACTCACCAGAATTCCGGGATTATTTACCACATCCTCATGTGCCCCAGGGGGGTGGGATTTAAAGTGACCCTCTAATATTTTGGGGGAGGATGTGGGGTATGGGGGGGACACTCACAAGAGTTCTGGGATTATTTGCCACATCCTCGTGCCCCGGGGAAGCTGGGGTGGGGATTTAGTGACCCTCTAATATTTTGGGGGGTGGAAACAGTGATTCCCTCCCACTGAGGAGTGACAGCCGCGGGTGTCACCATCACGGGCACCTCCCCCTGCCCACGCTGTCCCTCCCCAGGCCCCCGTGTGCAGCCTGGCAGGACATCGGGGAGCATCTCCAGAGGCTCCCCCGCCGCTGCCCCCCGCCCTGAGCGCTAGCAGCAGCCGGACCCCCAGCGCCTCGGACGTGGGGGACGARGGCAGCACGGAGGCGCGGTCCCGGGACGGTGGGCACGGCCCCGCCGGGTTGGAGCACTCCGAATCCCTCAGCGATTCTCTCTACGACAGCCTCTCCTCCTGCGGCAGCCAGGGCTGAGCTGCCCCCGGTGCTGCTCCCACGTCTTCCACTCCCCATCCCCGCTGCTCCCTGCTCCCGCTCTGAGGGTGCTGCCTGGATTTGGGGGGTCCCCCCACTTTCCCGGCTCTCTCCGATGGTGCTACGGCCCTGTACAGCCCCCGCCGATGGGTTTTTAACTCAATAAAGCCGCCCCCCCAGCCTGGGTTATTTATATAYGTGATGGTGCAGCCGCTGTGTCCCTGTGCCCGGGGGAGGGTCAGATGGATGTAGGGACGGACAGAAAGACACGGGGGAGAGGGGATGGAAAGAGCAGGACCAGAGTTTGGAGTCTGAGCGATTTATTGAATCATCCCGGTGTACAAAGAGCGGAGACGGCGGGACTGGGAGCGCTGGGAATTGCGGTGTCCCCACGGTCCCCTCCCAGCACGCGTTCGTTTCTTGGCACTGGTGCTGAAGGGGAGGCTCCACCGATGAGTTTGGCCGAGGGGAGGGTCCCACTAACAATCCCCCGGGCTGGTTTTTAGGGCCTCACGATTTCCCAGGTGCCGGTGGGGCTGGGGACAAATCTCCAAGGAAAAAAGGACACGTGGGTGACCACTCCGAGGGCCATAGGCCGGGGGCGGGGGGGAAATCAGGGGGAGCCAAACTCCAGCGGGATTCACAAATTGGCTGGTTTTTAATCGAAAAAAAAAAAAAAAAAAAGCTGAACGAGAGAAAAATCCACGAGGTGCGAAAGCTTCCGGCTGCTTCCTCGGCAGCAAAGCGCAGCCCCTTTAATGACAGAGAGGGATGGGAGGGGACATGGGGACACAGGGGTGGCTCCGCCTCAGCCCAGAGCCACTTCACTTCTTCTCCTTCTTCTTGTTCTGCAAGAGGAAAAGTGGCCACGGTCACCGTGGGCTCTGTCCCTCTGTCCCCCTGCCCCRCCCAGGGCCCCTCACCCTCACCTCAGACATGCCCAGGATCATCAGGAGCTCCCGGAAAATGTTGACAAAGTCGAGGAAGAGATCAACACAGTGCCTGGGGAAGGAGGGAGGGAGGGAGGGATGGATGGAAGCTCAGAAGGTGTCACCCCACCCTCTGTGTCACCCTCCCCGTGTCCCCAGCACCCACCAGATGTAATCCTTGTCCCCGCTCTCGGCTTTCTCGATGATGAGCTGCGTGTCGAAGAGCACGAAGCCGCACATGATCATCAGTGCCAGGTACAGGTTGGCCTGCAGGAGGTAGAAAGGTGTGAGTTGGGGACAGTCCCCTGCTGCTGCCACCTGTCTGTCTGTCTGTCTGTCCATCCTCAGCGGGGGTGGGACAGCACTCACCGAGAAGAGCCAGGCGGATCTCACAAARGCGTTAATCAGCGAGGAGAGAAGCATCAGGGAGAGGCCAGAGAGCAGGAAACCTGCAGGGAGAGGACAGGGAGTGAGGGTCAACTCTGTGGAGACCCCCAAACCCCACAGGRAGCCCCCCAAAAACCCTCCCCAAARCCCCTCTCACCTCCCAGGTAGAGATAGCTGCGGCGCCGGGCGTACAGGGCGCTCAGGGAGAAGCAGGCGAAGATGGTGGCGGTGCCCAGGAAGGCAGTGGGGATGATGCTGGAGGGGGAGGAGAGAGGAATCAGAGGGTTTTGGGGGCAGCTGAGGGGTGGGGAATGGGATTTGAAGGTTGGGGATGGGGTCTGTGGGGGCGTCTCCTACCTGGGGTTGATGGAGATGCACATTTGCAGGAGGGGTCCCAGGTTGATGCCTGCAAGGACAGAACTGGGGGTCACCAGAACCATTCTGGGGGCTCCATCYGACCCCTCTGCAAGGTTTGGGGTCCTGTGGGATTTGAGGGGTTGTCTCGGTGCCCACCTACCTGTGAGGAAAGCGAAGCCAACGAGCATCCCCAGCCGCTTTTGCTCCGTYTCGTGGCTGTGTGGGGTGGCCGTGAGCCAAACCATCAGCCCCAGTGCACCCAGACCGGTCAGGAGCCCRAACTGGGGGAGTGAGAGAGACAGATGAGAGCTGGGCATCACCTCACTTGGGTGCTGTGGGGCTGGGGGTGCAGCCCTTCCCTCACCTGGAAAAGCTGGGTCACCACATTGATGTAGGCGCCCGCGGCCGCCACGAACATGCAGATGGCAAAGCTGCCATAGACCCTCTTCAGGTGCTCCTGGGTGGAGACTGAGCTGTGGGTGAGGAAGGGGTGATGAGAGGGGGCAGAAAGGACTGGAAAAACCCACCCAGACCCCCTTCAGCCCTGCCCGTGGGTCACTCACATGTGGGAGAACTTAAAGAGAGCATCGAAGTTGATGTTGCGGTCRAAGACGTTCATGGTGCCGGGCTGGGATGGGCCCACGGCCGCTCCACAGGGGTGCAAGCTGTGAGGGGAACAGGGGGTCAGGAAGGAGCTGGAAACCACCCCAAGCTCCCAAAACTTCCCCCAGGAGCTGGGAGGGAGTGAGGGGCAGGAACCAGGAGCTGCTGGAGCTTTCCTGGTCCAGCTGGTGCAAGCACCGCCGGTTGTTTCAAGCCGGGAGGGAGTGAGGGGCAGGAACCGGGAGCCTCCGGAGCTTTCCCGGTCCAGCTGGTGCAAGCACCGCCGGTTGTTTCAAGCCGGGGAAGCCTCTGGGGTGTTGCAGCGCTGTTGCAAGGCCAGGAAAGAGCTCAGGAATCCCGCGGAGGGGCTGATGTGAGGCCGGGGCAGCCCCCGAGGAACGCTGCTGGCAGCTGGAAACGCCTTTGTGCCAGGTGACTATTAGCGCCCGTAATGACGTCCCCAGAGGTGGCTCTGGCAGCAGAAAGCTCCCGGGGCCTCCTCCTCCTCCTCCTCCTCTTCCTCRCCCTCCTGCTCGTCCTCACCCAGCCGGCTCAGCCGGCTCTGTCCCCTCTGGCACCTGCTGGAGCCCGACCTGCCCGGGATGTGGCAGGAGCCACTTGTCCCCAAGGGATGGAGGGGACCCAAAAAGGGTGCAGGGTGGGGGGCTCCAACCTGGCGGAGGGGAGGGTGTAGGRCAGAAACCTCATCCTGCCATAACAGGGGTGCACAGGTTCCAACCCACCACTGGGACAGCGCCATGGGGTGGCACCGGACTGGTACCACCCCTGGGCTGGTGGCACAAGGCCCGGGGGAAGCCGCAGGTCAAGGGGCAAGGCAAAGGAGGAGGCGCGGCCATGGGGAGGGGACAGTCCCCGCCGGGGTGTGGCGGCGGTGTGTGACAGGGGTGTGACATCCCCCCCCCC